AAAGGGGGGGGGGGTGAAATGCCTGAACAGCTGAGCATTTGCTACCTTTTCCATCTATGTCTCCTCACTTCCTTGCAGTACTCTAAGTCACTAGGCTGCTACAACAATTTATTCCTCCCAGTGGCACATGGTTCAGGTATGCCAAACCCTAGAGTCTGATCTAGCTTCAGATATTGACATCACATTATTAGTAAGTAATAAAGTATTGCCCATATAAGACAAATGGAAATTTTCCATTAACTCAATTTGGGGAACAAAAAGATACAAACTCTTCATAAACTAAATAAAAAGCCTGTAAGCAATACAAAATTTGTTATCAATTTTTAAATGGTAAAGCTGCAATCAAATCCATTTTGTTTCATTCATTATTCATAAGGGGGGGGAATCTAAATAGATTTTCTATCACTGTCATGAAAAAAAAATATCTTAGGTAGTCTCCAAGTTTTACCTTGCAAGTTCCTTTGGTTTGAACTTCCACCATGTGTCCGGTTCCCGGAAAAGGACTTTATATTTATGTTTTTGAGACTACGAAAAAAAAGATAAAAGCTTTTAAAAATAATTACATCTATGAAATTAATTTCACTGTATCCAATTCATAGCATGTTAAAACTAGAAGAACCTAAAATTAGCTAATCTTGATGATTGTGTTAAATTGGTAAAATGCACAATCTCTTTAACCCAGCAATTAGCTTCCAGAAATGTATGCTACTGATAAACACTTATATAAGAGTATAAAGATATGTATACACCAGGATATCCAGTTCACCACTATTTGTAATAGCAAGAAAAAACAAACAACTAAGGAGCTTATGAATGAGCTAAATAAATATACAACCCTACAATGAAAATATTATACATTAATTTTTTTAATTCCATATGTCTTAATGAGAAAAGGTCCTTAATATAAATGTTAAGAAAGTAAGATACAGAATTTTCAGTTGGGTAAAAGAGGATTGATTATTCACATATTTGTACATGTATAGAAAACTTATAGACTCAAAAATACTATTAAAAGCATCTACCTTAAGGGAGTGACATTTTAAGCATTCTTCTTTGTGGTTTTGAGTATTTACCATATACATGCATGACTTCTATAATTTGAAAATTGTTTTAAATAATATCTCATTCTATTTTTTGAAACTCTAATACGGCTGTAATCTAAAAAGCCAAGCCCTACACTTGTGCACTAACTAGATCCATCTCCTCTCTTCATCTCAAGGATAATTGATTTCAGGAATTCTCCCCTTTCTGAGGCATCATTAATTTTTCCTCCTTCTTGAAGCATCACATTCAGTTATTTCTCCCATCTTACTCTTAACCCCATTTTCCCTGCCAGCTATCTCCCCATGGTCTTGCTCCATTTTGCAAGAAGATGTCTCAAAATAATTACTATATTTTCTATCTCCAATCTCTCTCTTAGCCTCATAAACCCACTCCCATTGGCTACTCCACTGAAACTGGGCACCAAGACCATAATTACTTCCAGGTTGAAAAAATGCTATTATTAATGCTCAGTGCTCTCCTACTTGACCCTCAGCAGCATGTTACCTTTCATCACTTTCCTCTCCTTACACTTCTCACTACTGCTTTTCCTCCTACCCCACTGAGTGGCTGCCCTCAGTTTTTTTTTTTTGCTAGTCCCTCCTTTTCACCCAGACCTCTTCTCACAATGGGATGCCCCAGACTTAGTCCTTGGTCCTGTACTCCAATCTACACTCGCTTCCTCAGTAATATCACTCCATTCATTGGCTTTAAATATCATCCATATGGTAATGACTCTCAAATATATATCTTTAGCATAGAACTTGCTCCTGAACTCCAAACTTAAAGCTCCAACTACCTATTCAACAAACTTAACACATTCAAATCTTAACTTTATAAAACAATTACCCTACACCCACCTCAAAACTATTCTACCTGAACCCTTCTTCATCTCAGCTGATGACAAGCTCATTATACAAGTCAAAAGCCAACCTTAATGGCTCTCTTGTAATACCTGACTCCTCTCTCTTTCACATCCACAATAGTTCAACAAGAAATTCAGTTGACTGGACTTTCAAAATATATCTAGAATCTAATCACTGCTCACTGTCACCTTCACTGTTACCATGTTGGTCTGAGCCACATGCTCTCTTTATCACTATAGTCTTCTAACTAGTCTCCCTGCTTCCATCCATGCCCTCCCCCCAAGTCTATTCTCACACAGCACTACACTGAGTGATCCTGTTAATGGTCAGACCATGTCACTACTCTGATCAAAACCCTCTGTTATGAACTGAATGCCTGTGTCACTACTCTGATCAAAACCCTGTTATGCCCAGCCGGGCGTGGCTCAGCGGTTGAGCATCGACCTAGGATCCAGGAGATCGGGGTTCAATCCCCGGTCAGGGCACATGCCGGGGTTGTGAGCTGCAGCCGATCAATGACTCTCTTATCATTCATGTTTCTATCTCTCTCTCTTCCTCTCCCTTCCTCTCTCTGAAATCAATAAAGATATATTTAAAAAAAAACAAAAAAACCAACAAAACCCTCTGTTATGAACTGAATGTCTGTGTCCCCTCAAACCCCATATTCAGAAACTCAAATTGTGCCATGTGACTATTTTAGGAGATAAGGCCTTTAAGGAGATAATTAGGGTTAAATGAGGTCATAATGGTGGGGCCCTGATTCTTGTAAGAGACACCAAAGAACTCTCTCCACCATATGAGAATACAGCAAGAAGGTGACCATCTGGAAGCCAGGAAGAGAACTCTCGCCAGAAACCAACCCTGACAGATCTTAACCTGGNACCATATGAGAATACAGCAAGAAGGTGACCATCTGGAAGCCAGGAAGAGAGCTCTCGCCAGAAACCAACCCTGACTTCTAGCCTCCAGAGCTGTGAGAAAATTAATTTCTGTTGTGTAAGCCACCCAATCTGTGGTATTTTGTTATGGCAGCCTGAGCAGACCGATACATCTTCCATGTCACTCAAAGTAAGACCCAAAGTTCTTACAGTGATCTATGGGCCCTTTCATAATCTGCCCTACCATCTCTCCAACCACCATTACATCTCTGACCTCATCTCCCACTACTGATACCCTCAATTTTGTGAAAAGATACCAAATGAACAATGATACTTTGTCATTACTGACAGAAAAGCCCAAAAGTCAACCCAGACACTGAGGTAGAAGACATAAATAACACCCTGTAACGAGAGTACTCACTTTCGTTTCCTCACCTCAGCACCAAATTTCATACAACTTATTCAGAGCCTGGCAACAACCTGAGTCTCTAATTACCTAAAGGGATGTCATGTAGTTCTTAGGATCAAATTAATTTTAAATGCAAACACAGGAAAAAAGGAAAGACTATAAACTTAAAGACTTTTTCAACTCCGATATCAATAGGAAAATCTTAATATTACTTGAGAGGATTCTAAATGACTTATATTAAGTTATATGATAACCCACAAGGGAAGATATACGTATATACTTAAAACAAAGTAGCAAGTATTGCCAGCTGCTACTAAGCATACTTGACTGCTCCTTATTTATCCCCGAGTCACTACATACTTTTGTAAACGACAGTGAAGATGGTAATAAGCAGTTATCACCCATCTATTCCACTCCTCCACAGCTCTCATTATATTCCTACTAAAAGAAGCAAAAAGCAATCCTCCTCCTCTACAGTAATTCTTGTCTACTTTTTAAAGAAAAAATGAGTATGGTACTCTACAATAAGAAGGAATCCTTTATACTTCTGAGTTGGGAAGATCCAAGGAATCAATACTGAAAAAATAGCTTTATATTTTCAATTATTATAGAAGAAAAAAGAAAACATTGAAGGCTAAATGAAAATCAGAAACACAGTAAGCTGAGGCTGCCTTTATTTTCTACATAGGAAAATAAAGTGTTACAGAACTTTCTAAGAGCAGAAAGCCGAGTATGGTTAAGGGGGAAAGCATGACCCTATGGTGAGTATATTAGTGTAGAAATTAGGAATTCCTAAGGCCAGAAAGCAAACCAATTTCAGCTCACACTACACTAAAATGGAGTCTTTTTGCTTCCTCTATTGCCTCTGCACAGAAGTAAAATCCCATTTGCTTCCAAAGGACACATAATTTTCTCCAGAAAGGTGAAGAATCACACCTTCAAAATAGTACAAGTGCAATAGACAGAGCAAAGGAGGTAGAGGCTAGATGTGTTGAGGACAAAAGAGGAAGTACATTCACTCACAAAAGAAGCATAAACTGAGCTTTCATGTGCCAGGCGTGTGCTAACCTTGGGGGAACTAACCAAACAATACCCCATACTCACAAAAGCTTCATCAATTTACTCAAGGAATATATATTTACTATATGCCAATCATAGTGTTACACCTTGGTAACTCAATGACAAATAAAACAGTCCTACCCTCAAGAGTATATAGATGGCCTAGAGCCAAATTCAGCCTACCAGCCAATATTTGCAATAGACTACTAGCTAAAAAGTTTTTAGCCTAGTCGGGCGTGGCTCAGCAGGTGAGCATCAACCTAGATAGGATCCAGGAGATTGTGGTTTGATTCCTGATTCCTGGTCAGGGCACATGCCCAAGTTGTGGCCTCGACCCCCAGTCAGGGGCCTGCAGGAGGCAGAAGATCATAGACAACTCTCATCACTGGTGTTTCTATCTTTCTCTCCCTTCTCTCTCTGAAATCAATAAAGATTTTTTTTTTTTTTTTAATTTTTTTAAAGAATAGTTTTTATATCTTCAAAAGTTTATGTAAAAGAAAAAAGATATGCAATAGAGACCGTATGTAGCCTACAAAACCTAAAATATTTACTATATGTTGTTTTATAGAAAAAAGTTAGCCAACCCACGGCCTACTGATAAAATGTGCTTAATGCTATGACAGAAGTAAGCCAGGGTACTGTGAAAGCAGAAAGATTACCAACTCAGCTTTTTAATAAGTTGATGAATGCTAACTTCCTCAAAAAGTGACATCAAAGTTGGGCAAAAAAGGAATCTGGCAAATTTGGAGAACTGAAAATAGTGGAGTTTACAGAATTCTGAATGTCTCAGAATAGCAAAATTTCAAAAGAAATTTGGGGAATAAAAAGGACAACCAAATTTTGAATCTGCCAAATAAGAGCAATACGAAAATACACAGACACACACACACAGACACACATATTCACACACCACACATAAATTTATACCACTACCTTTTCAAAAAAGATATCGAAAACCAAAAATAAACCATCTTAGAATTTTAAAATTGAATCTCAGAATTTGAAAATTGAATTTAGCTTTATGGAAAAAAACTATTCGTTTTTCTCATTCTGCTAAAGACCAGAGAAGGCTCAGTTACAGACAGTCCATGGACTATTTGCTTGAGATTCACTTTTGTAATTAACATCCCCAATAATTTCAAACCCACTATTATAGACTTATGACAATATGTGGTACAAACCAAAGCAACATATGGCTTCATTTCCCATGCCTGTAGGTTTGTATTATCTATTATTACAGGAGAGACCTTCTTTTCGAATGCTTCTTTTGCTGAAAAACACAAAAAAAAACAGAAAATCATTTTTAATAACAATATTAAATATGAATTTGATATTTTAAAAATCTGATCTTGTTTTTATAATTTGAAAATCATAGATATGTGCTAAGTTTACTCAAAACTCTCCTTCTAAATATCACTTCTGAGTATACAAAAAATTAAAGTACAGGTAAACATTGAATAATAAAACTAAAGTTATAATCAGAGAAAATTATTAAATAAAAACTATATGATCTAAGTTTTATATGTGTTACATGTATTAGCAGCATAAATGAAAAAAAGAAATCTATCATTTAAAATATCATGCTAAAAGCAACAAGGTATCCTGGACAAGATTCTCAAACAAAAAAAGGACTTTTGTAGAAAAACAAAAATCCAAATAAAGTCTGGATTGTATATAATAGTAATGTACCTGTAATATTATGATGTATGATAAAAAATATATATTTGGTCTTCATCCAGTTTCCGGCCCAGAGCTTCTAAAACCCTTGGAATTTCCTAAGTGATGAAAGCTTAAAGATGTTTCTTATGTTATGTTAATAAAGTGACTTTTGAAATGCACCTAGGGATGGAGGCTGGTTTTCAGTGGAGCTAACCTGATTAGAAGGCTGGAACTTGCAGCCTCACTCCAAGACCTTGGGGTTGGAGAGAGATGACAAGGACCGAGTTCAATGACCTGCGGCCAATGATTTAATCAATCATGCCTATGTAACGAAGCCTCCATAAGACCCAAAAGGACTCAGTTCGAAGAACATCCAGGCTGGGGAACACGTGATGGTGCTGGGAGAATGGTGAGCCTGGGCTCAAGGGCACAGATGCTCCATGCCTTTTCCCCATACCTTGCCCAACGGATCTCTTCATCTGACTGTTCCTGAGTTATATCCTTGTATAATAAATTGGTAATCCTGTGAGTAAACAGGTTTTCCTGAGTTCTGTGAGACACTCTCGAAAATTAAACCCAAGGAGGGGGTCATTGGAACCTCCAATTTGTAGCACCTGGGTCAGAAGCACAGGTAACAAACAGCCTGGGCTTACAACTGGCATTTAAAATGAAGGACAGTCTTGTGGGACTGAGCCCTTTACGTGTGGAATCTGATTCCATCTCTGAGTAAATAGTGTTAGAATTTAGGTGAATTCTTGGACACCTGGTGTGTCCAAGAACTGCTTATTGGTGAGGGGAAGCCTACACNAGAACCCTGTCCCTGGAGTAGATTTAAATGTGCATTGTTCTAACCAGTTGCAGGCATGAGCCTCAATGGCATGAATGTATATATCATCAACTGATTGGCCATCCCCTATGGAAGGCCATTTAACTTGCTTTCAATTTTTTTCCAAATAAAAAAATAAAGAATGCCACCAACCACATCTTTGCACAGGATATATGTGAGTTTTCCTCTAAAATGAGAAGTAGAATTGTTGGGTCATGGTTTACATGCATGTAAGTGTTTAGTAGATAGCATAAAATTTCTTTCTTAGGGAGCTAAACCATTTTACATTCCCACTGGCAGCATATAAATACAGCCATTTCTCCACACCTTTGCAAGCCTTGATATCATCAAATCTTTTATTTATTCATTTTACCTATACAGAATGACGGGTGAAAAAAGTATCTCGGTGTGGAATATAGTCAATAATATTGTAATAACTATGTATGCTGTCTCTTATACACATCTAGATGTGTATAAGAGACAGCACACACACACACACACACACACACACACACGTGCACACTAGAACTGGGTTGAGGGGAAGCCTACACACACACACACACACACGGTGAGGGGAAGCCCACACACACACACACACACACACACACACACACACACACGTGCACACTAGAACTGGGTCCAGGAACCCTTTTCAGTAGCAATGTTAATTTTTAATCTTGACAAAAGGTACCATGGTTACACACACACACACACACACACACACACACACGTGCACACTAGAACTGGGTCCAGGAACCCTTTTCAGTAGCAATGTTAATTTTTAATCTTGACAAAAGGTACCATGGTTACACACACACACACACACACACACACACACACGTGCACACTAGAACTGGGTCCAGGAACCCTTTTCAGTAGCAATGTTAATTTTTAATCTTGACAAAAGGTACCATGGTTATAAAAGATGTTACCATTAGGAAAAAATGGGTGAGTGGTATACAGAAACTCTATACTACTTTTGCAACCTTTCCATAAATCTAAAATTATTCCAAAACAAAGTTTTAAAACAAAAAATACCTAAGGTACAATGCTTTGAAATAAAGAAAACATTATTATATAATGTTGTGTAAGAGATTTTCTTACAAAACTACCTTTTTCCCAAGAAATTACACTATTCAGGAAATTAATAATGAACCATAATAAGTAAGCCTTGCAAGGAAGTTATTTGGAAATTTTAGAAGTTCTGTATACTCTCTTACAACTCAATAACGAAAAGAAAAATAATCCAATTTAAAAAGGTAAAAAACTTGGAAAGCTCTTCAAAGCAGATAAACAAATGGCCAATAAGCACACAAAAAGATTCTCAACACCATTAGCCATCAGGGGAATGCAAATCAAACCGCAATGATATACCACTTCGCAGCTACCAGGAGAGCTATAATCAAAAAGACAGATAATAGTAAGTGTTGGTGATGATGGGGGGAAATTAGAATCCTCACAAGCTACTAGTAGGAATGTAAAATTGTGCAGTTGCTTTGGAAAACAGCTTGACAGTTCCTAAAAATGTTAAGACATACACATGTATGTTTACAGCAACATTACTCATAATAGCCAAAAAGTGGAAACAACCCAAACATTCATCAACTGACAAATAAATAAATAAAATGTAGCATATCCATACCATGGAATATTACTCAGCCATAAGAAGGAATGAGGTACTAATGTATGCTACAACTTAGATGAACCTTGAACACATTACACTAGGTGAAAGAAACCATTCACAAAAGACTACATGTTATATGATTCCATTTACCTGAAATAAGAATAAGCAAACCTATTGAGAGAGACAGTAGATTGATGGTTGCCTAGGGCTGTGAGAGGTTGAACAGAAATGAAAAGTGACTGCTAATGGGTACAGCATCTTTTTAAGGTGATAAAAATGTTCTAAAACTGTTTGCGATGATGGCTGTACAACTCTATACTAAAAATCATGTGAATTATATCTCAATAAAGTTGTTTCAAAGAGTTCTGCCTATTAATATTATTGCTGTGGCTTTGGTGTAGTAAGGGCATGTTGAACCACTGCTAAGCATTCTTCATTCTCATTTAACCTTTATAACAATCCTGGGGATTTACAGATGAAGACACTGATGAGACTAGTAACTGACAAATCCAAGACTGCTCTTCAGCACATAATACTGTTTTCTTTATTTTTAGTTGTGTTGACATATTCATAAATTCTTAAGTTCTTACTTTCATACAAGGTGAAGCAAAAGGAGGTTTACAATTATTTGTATGGAAAATAATATAATAATCAATAAATAATACAAGGATAAACTGTGTTCCTCGTACTCACAACTGTAAGCCTATTTTTGCCCACCCTAGTATTTAGTTCAAGAAGGAATACAGAAAAATTTAACAATATCTTAGGATAGCAAACTCAAGTATCTCCTTCATAGTGCATTTATCATAAAAGAAAGGCAAAGTAAAATATTGTCTTTTTTTTAATCTTTACCCAAGGATATGTTTATTGATTTGAGAGAGGAAGAAAGAGAAAAAGAGAAACATCAATGTGAGAGAGAGACATCAACCAGTTGCCTCCCATACATGACCTGATTGGGCCAACCGATGGGCTGTTTATGATTTAATACAAATTTCCTATATGAAATTCAAACTATTCATATAACTAACCATTTCATGATAAAAAAAAACAAAAAACTATCTTCAGTGATCAGACAGTTGCACTAATAAAGAAATAAAGATTTAGCTATAATCTCCCTACAGATCCAGTTTGAGGAGAGCCATTTTTACTCTTACACTATCCTCCATAAAAATTAAACCAACCTAGGAAAGACTGATGGTTAACAGTCTAGGAAACAGGAACCAGAGCATACCAGACAACTGCAACCATCTTGAGCTATTTTGAGACCCAAGTAAAAGTTCTGATTTACTTCTGACAAGATGATCACTGATTAAATGAAACTTAAACATGCCATGCAATGTTCTATGTATTTTCCAAAAATTAAGTCATTTAATCCTCATAACAATTTTGAGATCAGATTACCTCTTTTACCTCTTATTATGTAACACAAGAATAGTTACAAGTTTACATATATATCTAGTTATAAATTAAAGTCAATTTTAATTTTTTAAAAGTTGCATGTCTCTGAAAATACAAAAACTAAGAGAATTTTTTCTTTATATTACTCTTAATATTATCTGGAATCTGATGCCTATTCTTACCACGATTCTGGTTCCATTCATGTGCTTCTCCTAAGTACTTTACATCAAACTGGTACTGTCCATTTATGTAAAAGTAATCATCAGTACTAAGAATGACTCCACTTGGATTATCCTCTTGCAAAGTCCTGTAAATGATAAGTGGATTTTCATTAATTTTTCTTCTAAATTCTCTCTCCTAATTTTTACAAGGTCAAAATGCAAATTAAAAAATTCAAGTATTATAATTTAGAAGAATGAAAATATTGTAATGTTCAAACAAATCATACTGGAAATCCTCTAAGCATTAGTTTGACTCCCAAAAAAACTGACCGAAGGCAAGACTATTTTGCTTCATGTAAAACATTTCAAAAATTTTTTTAATGTTATAAAGTCCTTTATCCTTAACTCTAAAGGTTTCAAGATTAACAAATTTTTAATTATCAAGAAAAGTCATAACTGAAAATGTTTCAGAATCTTACCAGTCACTGGGTTCCTCCTAATCTGGTCACATGATACACACTTATCTTTACCTACCCTAAGTGTAAGGTCACGTCAAGGTTGGCATTCAACAGATTTTCAAAAGCACATGAAATTCTTTGTATATATATTGCTATAAATTTAGTGAGTGTGCCAAAAACATCCAAAAACATGTTAATAGACTGTTAATTCAATCTGTTAAATTATACAAAGCTAAGATAATTTTGGGGGGTGTTGACATCTCTCTTCCCCAATTTTGGAATTTGTCTTCTACATAATTGAAATGCATGCAAAAACTAAACAAACAGAATCTACTTAAAATACCACTATTTATTCTCTCCTCTAAAATATGTGTAAGTATACATAAAGCTAAAATATCTTTTGAATTTTCTTTTTATTAGCATCAACTAAGTACCAGGCACTGTTGTAAGCACTGAGCATACATCAATGAACAAAAAAGATAAAAATTCTTGCATTCATGGAACTTACATTCGGAGGAATGCTCACTTGATCTCACCACCTTCTAATGCTCCTACACTTACCCTCTTTCATCTCATTTTCCTTTGTCTGACACTTCTTTTCCCTTTAAACAACTATACATCTCAGCCATCTTTAAAGTTTTTCACCACACTGTAAGGACCCCCTTTCAACTATTACCCAACTTCTTTCCTTCCCCTTTAACTGCTTTATTATCAATGCTTCCTTAACCCTTCTGTCCTCTACCTTCACAGTGAATCAAAATTTTTTTAAGATAGCCATTCATGACCTTCTTTCCAATAAATCCAAAAGCCTTTTTCATCCCTCATTTCCTTGGGCTTGCACACTAGTTTAATACTGTGCACGATTCTCTCTGAGAAATAGCTTCTACGTCTCTGCACTTCCCAGTTATTATTCTCTATTAATTCAAAAAAATATTAGGCCTTGGCTGGGTAGCTTAGTTGGTTAAGGCATTGTCCCAAAATACCAAGGTTGCGGTTCAATCCCTGGTCAGGTAACACACAGGAATCAATCAATGAATGCATAAATAAGTGGAACAACAAATCGACCTTTCTCTTTCTCTCTCTAAAAATCAATCAATTTTTTTTTAAAAGACAAAAGAATGTTAAGTTCCTACTTTGTGAACAGTACTTCTCTTCCCATTTTCTAACTGTAGATCCCTGTTGCTCCAAGGCCCCTGAAATCTAACCTGTGTCACAGTTCTATTACCTTTTTTAAATCCTCACCCGAGGATATGCTTTATTTTAGAGAGAGAGTAAGGGAGAAAGACAGAGAGAGAGAAACATCAATGTGAGAGAGAAACGATGATCGGCTGCCTTCGGCAAGAGCCTTGACCAGGGATCAAACCCACAACCTAGATATGTGCTGTGACGAGGAATCAAACCCACAATCTTTTTGGTGTGTGGAATGGCACTCCAACCAACTGAGCCACCCAGCCAGGGCAGTTCTATTACCTTTTAAGATACCATCTTCCATGCTAATCTCTTTCACAAAATATAATACCATGACTGATTTCAATACCTACAATATTAAGTTAAAATGTTGTATTATTGTTGTCATTAAATCAATAAGAAAAAGCCTGTCTACAGAAGCATATGCTTACAAGCGTATGAGTAGAACATGTGGAAACTTACTGGGAGATAAATCTAGACAAGGAAAGCATATCAAAAATCAACTGAAAATGAGTTCATCAAAGGACATTCCCAAGTATATATACATATTCATTAAGACTAGATATAGCCAGGATCTGCGGACAAGGAGTTAAAATTTGGAAGGGAAAAAAAAAAAACCTGGCAAATAAAATAGATATAAAAATCTTCTGGAAATTAAAGGCTAAGTAGGGGTGGGAGACACTTTGAAAACAATGTTCCTTAATTAGTACCAATGAAAACACAACAAAGCTGTCTCTAACCCTGACTCCAGTCTCTCAAACAAATACACCCACTACCTAAACTACAAAAGGGACACAGATGGATATATGATATAAAATAATGGAGGGTACAACATTTTACAAGTTCTCTGACTACCAGCAACTCATCCTATGTTCTCTTCCTTCAAATCACACATTTCTAAAAGCATTATTTAACAAAATGCTACAATCCCAAATTTCCAATTACCAGTAGAATTCTTGTACTCAAGACTTCCTTGAATTCAAAATCAATTATGGCTCTTTAACTCCCTAATCAAAGATGAACTCATCCTTCTCCCGCTCAAATTAGTTTTCTTTCACATAAAGCTATTTCTGTTTATTTCACAAACTCACAATCTTGGAATCTTCTTTAATTTTTTTTCTATTCTGTCTCTTAAAATGATAATCTAATATTGAAAATTCAGCCCGCCCGGCATGACTCAGCGGTTGAGCATCGACCTACAATCCAGGAGATTAAGGTTCAATTCCAGGTCAGAGCACATGCTCAGGTTGTGGGGCATGCATATGCTTCTAAGCATATGAGTAGAACATGAAGAAACTTACTGGGAGATAAATCCAAACAAGGAAAATCCCCGGTAGGGGGCATGCAGGAGGCAGCCGATCAATGACTTTCTCATCAATGATGTTTCTATCTCTCTCTCTGTCTCCTTCCCTCTCTCTAAAATCAATAAAGGTATTTTTTTTTTAAAAAAAAGAAAGAAAATTTAATAAAAACTTTTGGTGAAAACAGTGCAATCAGCCACCAAGTCAAAAAAAAATCAACAGAAAGACAACATTTTAGAAGTTACTAAACATCTACGTTAAGCAAAAGCACATATTCATATACTATTATAATTGTTCAGGTTCATGCACTATACTTCTTAAAATTCAATTAAACCTCATACCTTGCCAAAAAAGATTTTCCTGATCCTGGAAGCCCTCTAAGAAGAACAAGAACTAGTCCAACATAAGATGTCTTCTTTCTTACAACCTGAGAAACTGGAGTTTCTTGTACTTGATAAGCACTTGTTCCCTCTTTATTTCTCCACACCTTTGTTGGGGAAGGGTGAGAAATAACTGGAGATGGAAATGTATAGTTGACAGGTCTCCAGTGTGCAGCTGTGGTAACAACAGGAGCTACAAAGCCATGATTTCCTTGAAAGAGGTCAAAGGCAGGAATCATTGGATTCCACATTGGTGGAGGTGGAGGAGGCAGCAGTAGAGGGATAGGGGTAAGCACTGGGCAGTAATTCACATCCTTCCCCTTTGGTTGCAATTCACTATGTTTGCGTGGCTTGAAATTGAATTCTTCAGAAGGTACAAACACATCAGGGACAGAAGTAGATTTCTGATCCCCACCTGTACCTAGTAAACCAAGCCCTGGATTTTGCACAGTACAGTTTAAAGGAGCCTGAGGTTCAGTGGCATCCAAATCTACAGGGGCTTGAGAGAACTGAGTCTCAGCACACTCAGATTCTGAAAGCTCTTTCTTGCTTTGATTGAGATTGCTACAATCCACCACAGTGTCATTTGCTACACTTAAAGAACTACTGAGAAGAGAATCTTCCAATGTGTCATCCTTCATAAAACTTTTGGACTCATTTGAAACCGACTGTGAAGTTAAGGGGCTTGAACTTAAAGTAGAGGCAGAAGTCTCTATATTGTCACTGTTCAAATCCATAGTTTGTGCAGAAAGAACGGGAGTCATACTACTTGAATCTGAATTTATGAACGCACTCGGGTCACTAAAACTATTAACATCTTGCAGAGGCAAAAATGAGTATGCTTGGTCATCAGGAGAAGAGTTCAATTTCTCAAAAGCATTCTGTATTAAGGAATCCAAGTCTTCGGTTAGCTGCATGTCCAAGAATGAATCCATTTTTGAATCTTCACTCTCGTCTTCAGGACACTTTTCCATTATTTCATGTCCTGATGCACTTACTTGGTTCTCAGAAGCAATGACGTTTTCTGAAGATGACTCTTCTATCTTGGTATCAGTGGCCGATAATTCTAATAGACAATCCATGGCATTATCAACTGTACAACAAGAATAACAGCAATAAAATATATGCATATATGTACTGAAAATATTAAAATATAATTTGATTAAAATATACATAATTATACTGCATTGAATGGTATATAGAGAAACTTATAAATATTCAAATTATTTTTTTAATTAGTATTTTACTAATATACCAGTCAGTATTAGTGAAAGGTCTGAAAGAAGGACACATGCAGTGTTTTTACTTACAAACAGTAACAAATTAGGCTAATAACCTGCCATCAAGTAGGTATTTTCTGATGAACTTATTACGTAAGTGTAAAAAGATCTGTAACTGTATGCACAACAGTTGTTTCAAAAAATCCTAAAACCAGTTGATTTACTCAACAAATACTTACCTATTGCATGTCCTTTTAAATATTAAGTATTTAAAGTACTCTTTGAGTAAATCTAATTTGATTATGTGGTCCATGCTATGAATTTCACTTAATAAGAAAAATATGTAAGGCAAGTACTACTTACATATCAGACATACTTTGTGCAAAGATGACTAAGACATTGTTTTACTACCCTTAAAGGAATTTTGCAGATTAAGAAATACAAATTGCCAGTTGTAAAGACAGTCATGGGATGTAAAGTATGGCACAGGGAATAGAGTCAATGATATAGTAATAACTATGTATGGTGCCAGATGGGTACTAGATTTATTGGGGTGATCACTTCATAACATATGTAAATGTCTAATAGCTAAGTTGTACACCTGAAACTAATGTAATATTCTATGTCAACTGTAATTGTAAAAAGGTTTTTAAAAATAAAATAAAAAACAATTTAAGGACTTTCTGCAGTCTAATGGAGGCAATTAAAGATAATTACATTAGAAAACAATTACACTATAGATTAAATAATGCACACTTTAAATAATATACAAATGTGGTAACAGCCTTATAGGAGAGTAAGGAAAGATTTCACATAAGGTGATACGTGAACTAGGACTTGAAGAGTAAAAAGAAACTTGTGAGACACAGAGGGGAAAGGCAAAGCCAGTCTTGAGAACATAAAGCATGTTTAAGATATTAAGAGAAATTGGTGGGCACACAGGAGTACAGTGGATAAGAAAAGGAGATAAAACTGGAAAGGGAGCTCAGGTGAAATTTGGAAGTATCCTGTATGTCATAGTAAGAAATACCCATTTTATTTCTAAAGAAACTTGAAGGGAAATTACCTATCACAGTATTTGGGCTAGAAGTTTTATATGTATCCCCTCACTGAATCCTCAAATAATACTATGAGGTATAGTATTCCTAGTAAATAGATAAAGAAAATGAAGTTCAAAAAGGACATTAACTTGGCCCAAGTCACACAGGTAGTAAGTGACAGACCCATGACTGGTAAGTCTGACTCCAACGCTGATCTCTTTCTATTATAACACAAACAAGGAGCCATTAGAATTGTTAAGTGTTTTAAATTTGGGATTTTGTTTTGTGTTTTGTCTTGTGTTCCTTTAAGGAAGATAAGTATGTAAACAACACAGCACAGTAGGTAACAACTCTCATCTGGAGTCAGAACACCAGCATTTATATCCCTACTTGCTGGCTATGACACTTTGAACATGTTGCTTAACTTTCCTAAACCTGATTTTCTCATTTGCGATATGGGGATAATAAAAGTACCTACCTCATAGGGTTGCTGTGAGGATTAAATGAGATAATCCATGAAAAATTGCTGTGCTCAAGGACTGGCACCTAGTAAGCACCCAATTAATGTTCCCTTAAGAAGAAAAACAAAGATGGATTGGAGGGGACAAGCCTGACAGAGAGACCAGTTAGGAGATTACAGCAATACTACTACAAAAGCTAGAAGCCCTAAACATGGAAAAAAGAGAAGTTTTAAAAAAGAAAGAAAATACAAGAGGTAGTTCTATGAAAGAAAATGTACGTGATAGAAAAACCACAAAAGAAAAGATGAACCGAAAAAAATCAATGTGTATAAAAAGAAAAGCAGTATTAAATTAAAATAAAAAGTCAAGCTATAGATCACACAAATGAAAAGTCCTTATACAGTTTGTTGAAAAAAATTAAAACAATGGTAAAAAACAAAAACACATGAACAATTCAAACAAGAATTAATGAACAATTTATATGCAAAATGTTCAACACTTTATTTTTTAAAAATAAAAAAATAAAAATTAAAAACACAAATTGAGGAAAGTAATTTTTTTCCTATTAAAATATTAAAATACTACAAAATTCTGAAAAGGCCATGGTGAAACCACTATATTTATAGAGCACTGGTGGTATAACAAATTGGCACATCTCCTTGGTAGGCAATTTATTAGTGTTTCCAAGAGCTGAAAACTGTTCTTATCCATGATGTAAGAAACAAAACTTTGGGAATAAGAAAAAAAGCCAACAGAAAGAAAAAGAAAAGTGTAGCAAGATGGTCTCTGAAATATTAATTATTCATGAAAAACTTAGATATAAATAACTAAGAACACGACTCCTCAGTGGAATATTAGAAAGCTAATAAAAATAAATTTAAAGATTCCAGCAACACTGAAAAAAATGCTTATGTTAGGTTAAGTTTAAAAAGTAGAATACACAATTTCATCAATGGTACTATTCAAACTACTCAAAATATCAGTATTTATGAACAAGGCGTAGAGAAGATCCTAGAAAAGAGAAATATGTTTTTTGTTAGGATTGAGGGTAATATATTTTTCTTCTAATTCCACATCGTTGTTAGTTTATATGCAACAAATTTTAAAGACATCAAAATCAGGAAATATTGAAATCACACTTAAAAAATTCTACACACCATCATTTCTGCACATCATGTGAACTGCTGAAAACTGGTTTTCTGCATATATATCATAACAGGATAGATAATGCTTATATCACAGACCATGTAATGAATAAAAATGGAAGTTTATTACGCATTATCAAAACTTCCCAAATCTAGAATAATTTTCATGTGTTAATCATGGTCAAAAGCAATACTAAGCATCAACATTTAATTTACTCATCCATTCATTCAACTTTGATACTTTCCCCTATAAAGCAAGCATACTTCTAAATAATTTATTACAAGTCACTAATAACTTGCTATACTGAAGGCTTTACCAAGACACACACAAACACCTTGATCCTCGCCAAATAAGTAATATGAGGTACATACTATTATTTTTCTCATTAACAGATAAGAAAATTTAGAGCCATAAAGGATAAGTGGCAGGGCTGGAAATCCAACCCAAGTTTCTTGACTCCAAAGCCAACATTTCAAAAGCATACTACCGTACTAGCCTCAGCCCTTATCAGCTCTCATTCCCACAATTACAGTTACCTTTTCATTCAATAAATATTTACAGAAGTCCTACTACAAATCATTTGCTATTTTAAGGGCTGGGGATACAAGAATAAATAAAACAGTTTTTAAAATCTGTCTTTATGGAACTTACATTCAAGGACAGTGATTCTCAACTGGGAATGATTTTGGTCCCCAGAGAACAATAACAATATATGGAGGCATTTTTAAGTGTCATAACTGGGGGTGAAAGGAGGTGCTACTGGCATCTAGTGGGTACAGGCCAGGGATGCTGCTGAATATCCTACAAGGCATAAGACAACTACTCACAAGAAAGAATTATCTAGTCCAAAATGTCAGTAGTGCCAACCTGGTCTAGCAGGGAGTTAAAAAGTACATAAAACATAGACCAGGATATCTATACACACATCTTACATTTCTTGAAGGCAGAAACTATACTTTATTCTTCTTCATATCACAGTATACCAAACTTAGAACCTCTCCAGCTGCAGGTGCTCAATAAGTGATAAAAAAGAAATAAGGCAGGCATTTTTCTATATCACTACTGGTCATGACATAGTACATGAAGTCTTCTTATAAGATATAAAGGATTCAAACTAAACTTTTTCTCACCTTTGAAATCACATTCAGAAAGCATCAAATACACTACATCGGGATCCAGCTCAGAAAACATCTCTGAGATATTGACGAAGAGTTCTTCCTGATCAACTTTTGTTTCACACATGGAAGGAAGAGTAGTTGGCTCCTCATGACTAGCAATACTGGATACAACTTCCTTAAAGTTTGCGGTCTTCCGAAAAGAATTTCCCCCAAGATTTTTCCTTTTCCTTGGCATTCTGACTTCCAAAACTAAAATGTTTTCCTTTATTATGTAAGATGTTTAATATTTAAGTCATACCTCAAAGAAAACAGGGTTAAATATCTTGCACAATCCAGCAGTAATAGGACCTAAAATAGAAAGTAGAAACACTCAGGCTATATAGTTATATTTCCATCTCTAATATTGGAATATCTTACTTAACTCTAAGGAAGTACCATCAACTCTAGCACAAAGCTAAGGAGCAGTCAAACAATTTCTCCCTCTCCAAAATATGCAAGCTTTGCCAGGATTGAACATGTTAAAAATTAAGATCTTAACAAATGTAAAATTTTAACAGTGAGTACACTGTATTAATATCATTATTTCTATTAAGAGAAACCATAAAACAGTACTGAACACCCACATCTGGAGATCTAATAGGCATCACAAAATCAACAGTCGAAAACTGAGTTCCTGATCATCTCCTTCAAGCCTGCTCTTCCCAGTCTTTCCCATCTCAATGCAACTCTATCCTTCCAACTGTTCAGATCAAAACTCTTAGAATAATTCTCGACTCCGCTCATCCCACATTCAATCAGTAAGCTAATCGTATCAGTACAACCCTTAAAATGTATCCAGAATATGCTCATTCCTCACCATCTGCACTGCTACCACAGCCTCTTCCCTGGATTACTATAATAGTCTCATCAATCTTCCTGCTTCTACACTTGCCCCTTCAGTCTACTTCACACAGCAATCAGTGACTTAATTAAACCATAGGTCTCATCATGCCTCTCTTCTGCTAAACTATCCTAGCTTCCTATTTCACTCAGGGTAAAAGCCAGAACCCTTAAAATGGCCTATAACCCAGACAACTGTTACCTCAATGATGTCATCACTAATCCTTTTTTCATCACTCATATCACTCCAGCCACACTTCATCTCCTTGCTGTTCTTCAAACACACTAGCCATGCTCCCACCTAGGAACCTCTTTACATCTTCGCTCCCTCTACCTGAATTACTATTCTCCCAGGTATTATTTTTTTTTATATATTTTTATTGATTTCAAAGAGAGGAAGGGAGAGGGAGTGAGACAGAAACATCACTGATGAGAGAGTTGTCATTGATCAGCTGCCTCCTGCATGCCCCCAACTAGGGATCGAGACCGCAACCCAGGCATGTGGCCTGACCCAGAATCGAACCTCGATCGCCTGGATCCTAGGTCGATGCTCAAACTCTGAGCCATGCCCTGCCGGGCTCCAGGTATTATTTACTTGCTGCCTTCCTATCATTACTTAAATCATTACTTCTCAGGAAGTCACTCCCCTAACACCACTTAATCTTCTTCCCTTGTTTGAATTTCTACTTAAGACTTAATCATCTTCTAACATAGTATATTATTTATTTGTTTTACTTATTGTATTCATTACCCATATTCCAGGAAAGTGGAAACTCTACAAGGGCAGGGAATGATGTATCTAGAGAACTCCAGGCAGTCTACTTGCTTTCTCGGCCTATCTAATAAACATTTCAAACTTAACATATCCAAAACTACATGTCTGATATTATCCTAAAAATCTGCTCTAACCATTTGGTTGGCTACCATCCCCTGTATTCTTGTCTCCTAAATGGTCTCCCTGCTTCCAACCCTTGACCCCTACAATTTATTTTCAACTTACCAGCCAGAATGATCTCATACAACATAAGTCAGAATGAATCAGGGTCTGCTCTAAATCCTCAAGCAGTTCTCCATATCACTCAGAATAAAAACTAACATTCTTACAATGGCCCTCCTCCCTGCTGGCCTTCGATATATTCTTCCACAAGGTATTTGCATTGCTTTCTCACTCCTTCAAATCTTTGTTCAAGTGTCACATTCAATAATTTCTTCATTGATTATCCAATTTAAAATCACAGCCTGGCTAGAGTAGTTCAGCTGGTTGAGTGCCATCCTGTGCACCAAATGGTTGCTGGTTTGATTCCCAGTTAGGGCACATGCCTGAGTGCACATGCCTGGTTGGGACATGTATGGAAGGCAATCAATCAATGTTTCTCTCTCACATCAGTGTTTCTTTTTCTCTCTTTCTCTCCCCGCTTCCTCTCTCTAAGCATGTCCTCAGGTGAGGATTAAAAAATAATAAAAAATTAAAATAAAGTCATATCCCATACTCCCTCTGCCCTTAATATTTTTCTAACATATAACAAATGTTACCTTTTAGTTAAATTTATTGTGTGATAGCTCTCTCCATCTTCCAGAACTGCACTGTTATTATGGCAGCCACTAGCCACATGTGCCTATTTAAATTCAATTACTTTTTTCATATATTAATACCAGACAAAGTAGAATTTAAAGCAAAGAAAAATATCGGAAGTAGATTTTATAAACATAAAAAAATCTGTCCACCAAAAAGATATAGCAACCCTAAATGTGTATGCACCAAACAACAAAGCTACTAAAGAAGTGAAATAAAAACTGACAGATTTGAGAGAAATAGACAAATCCACAATTAGAGTTAAGAAACTCCAATATCCCTCTCTCAACAATTTATAAAATAACTAGACAAAAGATCTGCAAGGATATAGAACTCAATAATACCATTACAAGGATCTAATCAATATTTATAGAACACACCATCCAATAATAGCAGAATATACATTCTTTTCAAGTGCTCACGAAACATATAACAAGATAAGCTATAACTTAGGCTATAAAACAAACCTCAACAAATTTAAAAGAACTGAAATCATACAAAGTATGTTCTCTGACCACTACGAAATCAGACTAGAAATTAATAACAGAAAGATAACATGAAAATCTCCAAACACTTGGAGCCCAAACAATATACTAAATAATCCATAAGTCCAATAGGACGATTCAAGGAAAATTTTAAAATACATCGAAAAAAATGAAAATAAAAATACACCATATCAAAATTTGTAGGACACAGCTAAAGCAGCAATGACGGAAATTTATAGCACTAAATGCATACATTAGAAAAGAGGAAAGTCTCAAATCAATAAATTAAGCCCCCATCCAAGAACCTAGAAAAAGAAGAGCAAAATAAACCCAAAGCCAGTAGAAGGAAGGGAATAATAAAGATGAGAGCAGAAATAAATGAAATTGAAAACAAAAGTAAAGAAAAAAATCAATAAAACAAATTGATAGTTCTTTGAAAACAGTAAAATTGACAGATCTCTAGGCAAAACCGACCAAAAAAAAAAAGTGACAACACAACTTACCAATATCAGGAATGAAACAAGGGATATTACTACAGACCCTGCAGACATCTAAGGACTAATAAGGAAATCCTACACAGAAACTAAATTAAAAAAAAAAAAAAAGAAACTAATAAGGGAATCCTATAAGCAACTATACACACACAAGTTTGACAGCATGTATGAAATGTACTGATTTCTCAAAAGCCACAAACTACCACAACTTAACCAGCAATAAATAGATAAAAGCCCTATGACTTTTAATGAAATTTATTTCACAATTTTAAACTCCCAAAATAAAAGTTCCAAGCCCAAATAGCTTCAATGGAGAATTCTAGCAAAGATTTTTAAGGAAAATTAACACTAACTCTATACAATCTCTTCCAAAAATAGAAACAGAGCGGATACAGATGTAAAAATCCATAACAAAATATTATCAAATATAAATCAGCAATATATAAATAAGAATCTTATCCAGGGATTTATTTAGATTTACTCCAGGGATGCAAGGCTGGTTCAATTTTTTTTTTTTAAATCAGTGTAACCCACCATATCAATAGGCTAAAGAAGAAAAATCACAATCATATCACTCAAGGAAGAAAAAAATGTGACAAAATTTAACACCCATTCCTGAAAAAAACTACAAGGAAAATAGGAATAGTGGAGAACTTCCTCAACTTGACTAAGAGCATCTATAAAAAAAACCTACAGCTAACATTATATTTAATGGTAAAATACAAAATGCTTTCATCCTAAAATCCAGAACAAGGCAAGGATGTCCACTCTCACCACTCTTATTCTACATAATGCTGGAAGTTCTAGCCTATGAAGAAAAAGAAATAAAAGAAATACAGACCAGAAAGGAAGAAATAAAACTACCCCTACTTGCAGATGATATAATTGTCTATGTAGAAAAATCCAAGAAATCTACAAAATCTCCAACAAATACATGGGTTCAGAAACGAGCAGAATAGAAGCATACCTCGGAGACATTGCAGGTTCATTTCCAGTCCACTCCAATAAAGCAAATATTGCAACAAAGTGAGTAACACACATTTTTTGGTTTCCCTGTGCATATAAATGTTATATTTATACTATACTGTGGTCTATTAAGTACGCAATAGCATTATGTTTAGAAAACAATGTATATACCTTAATTTAAAAATACTTTATTACTAAAAAAATGCTAACCATCATTTAAGCCTTCAGAAAGTCATAATCTTTTTGCTGGTGGAGGGTCTGGCCTTAATGTTTATGGCTGCTGACTGGTCAGGGTGGTGGCTGAAGGCTGGGGTGCCTGTTGCTATTTCTTAAAATCAAATGATGTTCTCTGACACATCAATTGACTCTTCCTTTCACGAGCTATTTCTCTGTACCATGTGATGCTATTTGATAACATTTTACCCACAGTAGAACTTCTTTCAAAATTGGGAGTCAATCGTCTCAAACCCTGATGCCACTTTATCTGGTAAGTTTATATAATATTCTAAATCCTTTGTAGTCACTTCAACAATAAGATTACAGCTATTCAGTCAAATCTTCAGGCTCCACTTCTAATTCTAGTTTTCTTGCTATATCCACATCCGCAGTTACTTCCTCCACTCAAGCCTTAAATCCCTCAAAGTCATCCATGAAGGTAAAATCAACTTCTCCTAAACTGTTACTGTTGATATTTTGATCACCTCTTCCTATCACAAATGCTCTTAATGGTATCTAAAATGGTGAATCCTTTCCAGAAGGTTTTCAATTTACTTTGCCTAGTCCATCCAAGCAATCACTATCTATAGCAGCTATAACCTTACTATTTCTTAAATAATAAGACTTCAAAGAGGAAATTACTCATTGATCCATGGGCTTCAGAATGGATGTTGTGTTAGCAAGCATAAAAACAGCATTAATCTTGTTGTACATCTCCATCAGAGCTCTTGTGTG